GGGGTTGGGGGGGGGGTGTTGTGAGGGGCGGCGGCGAGGAATGCAGGGCCGGAGCGCGTGGGAGAAGAGGAGAGGCTCAGGTCGCAAAGGGTGTTTGGGGCGAGGGTCGCACCGGTTCCCGCTGCGGTGGCTGGGAGGCTCGCGCCGCCCTGCCACCGCTGAAGGGGCCGGGAGGCTCGCGCCGCCCTGCCACCGCTGAAGGGGCCGGGAGGCTCGCGCCGCCCTGCCACTGCTGAAGGGGCTGGGAGGCTCGCGCCGCCCTGCCACCGCCAGAGGTGCCTGCCATGCGAGGGCTCCAATCCCTCATCGCGCGCCAAACCCCGGCACAACCCCCCCTGGCCACGCAGACGCAGCGCGGCGGATCGGGCGACGACCGCGCGGGCCTGGAGCTGCTGCAGTCCATCTGGGCCATCCACGGCGCCTAGGCGGCAGTGGCTCGAGCCTTCCTTTGGACGCCTCGGGCCTGGCCCCCGATCGGCCGGCCACGCGCCCACTTCCTCTACGCCCCGGCGTCCCTCAGCGCTCCTGCCCGCCACTCCTGCGCCACTCTCGCAGCCGCTGCTCCTTCCCCCCCCCCCCTCGCGCTCCATGTTCCCTGCATCCCTTTCCATGCACCTTCCCCTGCGCCCCACTCAGCACCTGAGCAGATGCAGGCAGGCTCGGGCCGCCGTGCCCGCGCCTGCCCGAGCACGTCCTCCCCCTCTGACGCGGCGGGGAGGGTGGCAGCGTGCAACGCCCTCCCCTCCCCACGTCTCCTTGTCCCTGACGCGTCGCCGAGTTGAATTGGAGCAGGCCCCCACCCCCACCCAGGACGGGCGGCCCGGCCTCGCTCTGCAATGCCTTGTCGGCGCCCTGCGTGACGCAGCCACCCCGCCCGCGATCCCCCCGCACACCTCCCACGCTCCTCTGCGCTGCCGATGATGTAACAGCACGCCGCATGCGGGACCAGGGCTTCAGAAGCCGCGGGAGAGCGGGGCATCGGCGGGGGCCGCCTTCTTCGCCCTCCCGGCGTCGCGCCGCGCCAGGATGTAGTCCCGCACCTCCTTCCAGCGCGGCACCGCGCGCAGCTCCAGGCGGTCGCCGGAGCCCAGGGTCAGCACCATGTCGCCCCAGTAGCCCAGGCCCCGGCCCACCGCCACCACGTCCCTAATCTGGTCGTACCCGGCGTCCAGCTGCTCCTCTGTGTGTGTGTGTGTGTGGG